ATATATTTAATCTTTACAGTATCTGAAAAATAATGCATACATTATTTTTACTTTTTAGCTTTGGTTTGCTCGTGTACTTCAATGCATAGAGTAGAGTATGACAAATCAATGGTGTCAGTCACACACTGGCCACCTCTTGAAGAACTTTTTCAACTGACAAATACACTTAAAATTTTTTCTCTTATTACTTTAGGGTTCAGGTGTTTTACAGCAATTTAAAAAAAACAACTATCCAGGGAATATTTATCCGCCCTCAACAATCCAAGGAGCACGAGGAAATCAAAAACTGTCATGAAATCTCAGAACCCTCGGCGACATTTTTGCTAAACACCATCAATATATATATATATATATATATATATATATATATAAACGAAAAGTTATTGTTGGTGCAGCAAGCAATCTATGTAAGTCCAAATTTTGAGAATTTTCAATTTTAGCACTATCAATCAAAGATGCACCTTTAAAGTGTTAAACAACAAACTGCAGTTTAATGCTATGGTCAAGGCTTACAATTTTCTTGTTTTCAAATGATTCTTCACAGGAACAACACTACAAAAACTACTTTTTGTGTCTCTGCTGACGAAAAAAGTACCCGGATAGTGATGGAGTGGATTGCAGCATTGCTTGTGGCACCGATGATAAATTCACAACTCTATGGATTAAAAAACAAACCATAAATCAGGACTTCATGCATTCTGTCACCATGACCATCATTTTTTCAGTTAACATATCCACACTACCTCATACGCATGCTGTCCAAAGAGCAGTGATAAATTCTTGGAAAACAGTACTCAGTACAGTAACTTTATCAGGCTCATATAATCAGTATACTTTTGTCAAATATTATATGGGATACAGTTTATGGCAACAATATTTATGATAAATGCAAAGATACACATATATGTTAACTGGTTAAACATCAATTTGCTGCACTTCATAGCGCCTCTGACAATACATCACATATATGTACAATGCAGCTTCTCTATAACGACGTCGTCTGGACCAGAAAAAATGTCAAAATAGAGAATTGTCGTTATAGAGAGGCAACCGAAAATTACTAATGATATACAAGGAAAAAATAAGGACCTGGGCACCATGTCGCTATACAGAGAAGTCGTTATATGGAAGGTCGTTATAGAGAGGCTGCACTGTACAAAAATTACAACAAACATAGAAGAAATTATAGTGACTATGACTTTCATATTTTTCATAATGTTGAATGACCCACAAAACGGAACATACTTCACTGGAACTATACGATTTGTCTTTCACTATCAGTACTTCAAAATGAGACAAGTCCAAAACTATGAAATGTTATTCTTGAACATGTATTTTTGTTATCAAGCAAAAGTTCTTTCTTTTGGCTTCAGTGGTATGGTTAGGTTAGAGTTAGAGAATAATTTTTCTAGCTTATGTAGTATGCTGAAATAATGTAATCTGATGAATAAAGTCACCGTCTTTCACAGCGACCATTCATCTATAAGGTCAAAACAAACTCAAGTTTTAACCCTCTGACTCTGAGCCTGTAGCACCGGTATACAATTCGTTTCACCGGTGTGAGAAGGGTGCGCTAAAATAAAAAAGCAATAATTATAATTCTTTAAAAATCAGAAGGCTAGTTTAATTTGATATACTAACAATATTAATATAATGGGATACCTACACATCTGTGCCCTTTCAAAGTTTCACACAGAAGTTTGGATCACATCCTGGGCTGATTTACTTTCTTCACAATGAAGAGCTTTTCTCCCTAAACCCGGACACTTGGGATGCCAGGGTTTAGCTAAAATTAGAATTAAGAGCCCAAGGCTCAAAGGTTTAGAAATATAATAATATCGTGTCACAAAAGCTATTTTGTGGTTTAAAAAAACAACTTATTAAGTTATTTGAATCAGTCTCTTGCGTATAACTGTATTATAATTATAGTTATAGTATAGCTCTGGTCCTCATCTCATCTGGAGGTACTGCTTTCAATTTGTTCTCATGATAGTTCATTCATCAAAAGAGAAAATAGTGGACAGCAGAGATACAAGCACATAATGGGGTGTCTTTTATGCCCACATCCACACAATTTAGATAATTAAGAAAGCAGTCTGAGAGTGAGAGGGGTACTACAATAAAGTCCCAGCAGAAAGATCAAGATACTCTATAAGTCTCCCCACACAAAAATCAGACTCGGGTCTTTTGAGTGTGATAATGAAGTGCCTAACTGCTACACCATATATACGCTGGTATTCTTTAAAGTGAAACAGAACAAATTACAGTAGTCTCCGCCTAAACGACGCACGCCATGCAAAAGCACGCTCCGCTCAAACGCACATTTTCGTCATCTGACGAGTTTTTTACTATATAATTAAGACGTACAAATGCATGGTCACTCCCTCTAAACGCACGCTCTGATCTGCGAAACACGCCGACAGGTAAAGCTTAACAAAGGGATATTTTCACTACAACCTGCACAGCCTGCGTTAGTAAGACAAGCCTAGAAAATTAGTGAACGTCTCCCTCTCCCCGAACAAAGAGAGTGATGGACAGCGTTTTCACATCCAACTTTCCACTGACACATAGATCTAGATCTAGAGATCTAGGACTGGTGGGTGAAAAGTTTGGGGGGGTGGGGGGGAGATTGGGGACGGGGGACTGAGATGTTTTTTGATTGGTCACTGGAAATGCATCTTTGAGAGAAGGTTTCTGACTGGGGTTTGAGTGACTGCGAGTAATGTTTAGTTAGATCTAGGCCTGATGCGCGACACCCGTAAATGCCGTAAAACACTAGATCTAGACAGACAGGATTAAAGATTAAACAAGTAAGCCTAATCATCTTCGCTCGAAGAATTTATTTATAATGTACTTGTTTAACTATTCACAAGAGAAAAGTTTCTCTGAATGAGAGAATGATTCTGCATGAATTTACGGTCGGGGCTGGTCGCTTGGAAAGCCACGTGGCTGGTCCGTTTTCTCTATGACTATCACCAACAGTTTTCTCTGAGGCTATCTGTTCCTGACGTTTATAGCGCATATTTACTACATTGAGTCTGTCTTTCTCTCCCCCCATGTATTCTTAACCCCAGTCGGGAAATCCATCACAAAAGTCACGTGTCGTCACACTATCTGCCAAAATGACCCCCTCCCTCCAAGGGAGGTCACTGGAGTAATAAGGAATTGAGATGACTGCGTCCCTTATCCTCCCCTTGCATAGGTTCATGTAAACTCACGCCCATATAAACACACGCTAAGGAACCCTCCCGAGCACCGTGCGTTTAGGCGGAGACTACTGTATAATAAATAGATTTTACAATACAAAATGGCCCACATCTGAACTGGTGTTGAATGTTGTACGTATTTATAAACACAAAAGTCAAGTTGGTTGTAGTTAGTCAAACAGGATCTTTCTCTACAATTAAGTAGGAAATGGAAAAAGCAAGGTGATCTTCTCCACAACTAATGTTAAACAGTTAAATAAGAAATCGTAAACAGCAAACTATCTTTCAAAAGGAAAATATATTAATATTATTATAATGACCATGCCAGGTTCAACTGAACTAGAAATATTATTGTCTGAGAGTGAAAGCTGTTCAACTGGTCTAAGCCCAGAAAGCAAATTTTTTTACAAGAGAGAAAAGTTTCATTTTCTAAACTATTGTACACAATTACACATCTTTGCTTTCTAAAAAAAATTTAGCATTTCAATTTCTACTAAATATTTCCATAGAACACGCAATCTATACCGTAGCTAAAGACATAGCACTACACATACAATAAATTTTTCAAAATTTTGGGCTTAACTCAGGGTGTCCGAAAAATACACATTTATAGGGCATAACTCTGTACGCCATCTTTGGTCTGATTTCAACAAAAGTTTGAACAAAGAAAATTCAACAAGAGGGACATGACATTTGTCGATATAAAGAAAACCAACACACATGTTCGAAAAATATCAGTATCAGTTGAAAAAAAATTTCTACCATGACTGAATTAAAAACAAAACTTAGCAATTTTTTAAAATGCATTGAAGAACAAATTTACATAAAACTGACTCTGCCAGAAGGAAGGTGGTTGCTATGCTATACACGATACTACCAGTATTTAAATTTTAAACTCCAGGTCTTAACCATTTCTCTCCAAACAAGTTCCAATACACCAAAAAAAATTATGAATAACCCTGTGGCTTGTTTCTGGATTTATTTTTTGGACTTCCGTTCAACATGGTGTTTCAACTGTTTAATTGTCTGAGTTTCCATGGACCATCCATACTATATTAAAATTAAACAAAAAAACAAAGGAATTAATCCCCGGGGTTCAAGTCAAAAGAATGTGATTAGTTAAGTTAGCTTCCTGTTTGTAACACATTCCCAAAATCTTTCTTGCAACCATAAAAGGTTACTCTTGATGTATGGAAGGTGGACCTAATCTGGCTTCCTCAACAGCATAACTACAACTCCATGACTTCCCAAACTTCTACACTTTTTTCAGCATGGTAACATATCTCCATCTGAGGTGATGGTCATGGTTTTATTGTCCTCATCCTGAAACCAGAAACAGCTGATATTGCCTGTGTAGCTAAATGCTTTTAATGAAGTAAAATTTTGCCCTTTACTCTTCACATGATTTTGGTTGCGATTTTTAAAATTTCATATTTCTCAAACATGTTGATTCCTTTTCTGCATGCTGGCAAATTCGATGTTCCCTTGGTTGAATTTACTTTGTTCAGTTTTATTGAAATTTTTCCAAAGATGACCTGATTTGTTGGTCTTTGAATGGGTCCTCATTATGTTCTCTCTTTCTGAATCTACGACTGCACGTCTTGACTCTCCATCCATTACTTGACAAGTTGTATGGTAAATGAGAGGCATGTCAGCAAAAAAGTTTGTAAGTATAGTATGAGAATGTTGCTGACATACTGTACCTTTTATGAAGCAGGTAAATGTTACCTAAATTAATTAGTATTAGTGATGTCCAGCAGGCCTAAGCATCCAATGTACACGTTTCTGAAAACATTTTTAAACTTTAACATAAGAACTATTGCACTGTATGTGCACATTTTATCAACTCCTAAAAATTCCATACAAAGAACTTTGGTCACCCATGACCAGTTGTAATGTCCATTACCAGTACTGTTGTAAACTGTTACTGTTAGGGCAAGCTAGAAACAGTTATACAACACTTTTGAATTGTTTTGTGGAAGGCGATTACTATTACAAATTTTATGTTATCTGCAAGGCTATTTGGGTAAAGATCCAACCGTATGTCTGAACAATTAAAGGTACTTAGCAAACTTTGGGCTTATGTGAAGCTATAACAACATATCCAACCCGCCACTCCCTTTGTCACTGGACAGGAATCAACTTATTAAGCATCAATATGTGTACATATTATATTCTTTAGGACAACAAATTTCAAAGCAACTGTATTTTCTGCATCCAAAATAAGATTGATTAAAATTTCTTTTTTAATTCTTTCTGAACATTTCACACACAAGGGTTATATTTTTGATTTTGTTCTCATCTTTGTTTTAAAAAAAAAAGCAGCAATTTGAATGAAACATGAGACATGAATAGTCCTTTTTTCTGAAAAAGTATTTAGCTACTGGTAGTAGCAGCATTTATAGATATAATATATGAGTATCTGGTGAGTACAAATAGTCATATGGGCAAATTTGCATAATATACCAGACCAATATTCCTGTATAGTGCATTCCATTCCATACAAAGTAGAATGTGGTCGATAAGGTAAAATGGAAAATTCCCAAATACTCTCGCTAAAGAACGAATTCATAGCTATGTGATATATACCCAGTAGCACATCAAGCTCATTCCAACTTCATTTTGAAGTCAATTCTTCAGTAACCATCTTACAGACATCGAAGTCTTCCATAGTCAATCAGGAGCTTGATGAGAGGGACTTGACTGGACCTTTCTCATTCTAGAGTCGCAATCAGTCTGAGAATAACATGGATTTCTATCTCCACGCCTATGTTGCAACCAGTTGGAGCTTTTGACCAGTTAGGGCTCACAACTCTGTGAGTATATTCAGCAAATACTCTCTCCTGACATTTCTCCAAGGTATCCGTGTTTCTTCCTCATCTGATAATTCATGAGCCAGGCAACATAGGACATCAGTAAATCGTCAATGTTGTGACCCTGAAAAAAATAATAAATGCACATGAATTAATTCTAGAGCTGAAAAATAGATTGCTCTTTGAAATCAAATACCACGGTTGTCTCTGCGTAAGATCCAGGTGTTTTGGAGCAAGGAAAATGTAGGCTCTTAGGAGAATGGGTTCTTAGCTGATGCACCAAAGGTACAATCCACAGTGACTCATGTTCAGACACACAATCGGTGAGATGATCCTCCCGAGTCCCTTACTCTATAACCTGACTCGACCACTGGGTGGGTTTATGACAGATGGCGTCCATTGCAGCAGTTGTCTTTCATCTCTACACCCGAATTTGCAAGATAGACTGAATTTTACCTGGTATGGTGCATTACGACAGAGGTGGGGGAACTCTGTCAGAGATCAAAAAGCTAAAAATTTTGGACTGAAGGGAAGGAGCAATAGGATCAGTGTATGTCTTGAGACTCACGATTAGATGAGAAAAAATGGCACGCGTCATGGTCACATCTTCATTGTAAACCACATTCACGTGAGTGGCTGATCTGTGACTCAACAATAGTCAATTCATCAATGATCGCAAATTTTCACTTCTTCTAGGGTGATCATCTGCGCTCACCCGAGTTTTTGTTCCCTAAATTATTATCTGGAATGATGGATCTTACTCTTAGCCAAACGTAGTCCTGCAGAGGGGGATGTTAGAGGTGACCTTTGGGTAGCAAAAATTCTTTTTCTTCAAAGCAGCAGAATTGTAAGCGATGTGAACTTAGGCAGAGTAGAGACTACTGTAACTGATTGGTTCTTAGCTACATTTTGGACAATCAACAAAGTCAAGATTTCATACATGTACGTAAATGTAATTTGAAAAGACATAACTGTAATGTATACATGTACATGTATGATGTTTAGAACAAGTGATGAAAAGTGACATTCTTCAAAGTATAATATATGATATAATTCCTAATTTATTGCAGTGACAATTTATCGATCAATGTACATGTACTACTGCTACTACTAGTACAATGTTAACAAACAGCTTCAATATAAAGATGCTGTGATGCTTCTCTCCTTACTACATATTGAAATTTAAGTGGATAAATTTAAAGCAACAAAAGTTCTTATTTGCTAGCAGGTTTTTTTAGCTTGTACCACCGACCTACATGTATTTTCAAGTGGGCCATCAAACAATAGCTGTGGTAGGTGATTGGCAGATGCTCTGGTGTGGTTTGCTCTTTCTTTTTAATTGAACATCTATCATTCTTATCTTTCCTTTATCTTTTTTGTGTTTGTTACTCTCTTTTAGCACCTCTAATTTTCGGCACTTATATGACCTAATTGTGTTGCTTGCCTTAAAACTTTTGCTAAAACAAAAAAATAATAAATGTCATAACCTGGGTAATCTCATTCTATTTAAAAAAACTAACCTTTTCTGTCCTCTTATACCTCAAAGTGTTGAGGAGAAATGTAAATGTTAGACATGGGCCAGATGTTTTGCTTTTTGAATGATTATATTGTGTCTTAGACTTAGAGGGGTCTTTTTGACTCCATTAACCCATCTTTTTCTTGGCCTTTCTTTTCCCTTGATACCATTGCATCACATGTCGTAGGCCTTGGAGGCTATCTCTTGCAGCCTTAATCTTGCAATGTGTCTAAATCACAATATTTATTATCTCTCAGTGTATTTTATGCACAATTCAATGCCCGCTTGTTGTTTAGTGTCTTCATTTGTTTGTCTGTCTCTTTTCGTGACTTGTAACATTTTGCTGAGACATTTCATTTCCCATAGTTCACCTACATGTGTACCAAATGTCCCAGGTTGGTAAGCACTGAGCTAAAGGGAAAGAAAAGAAGCAGTCAGTAGTAGTAGGATCTACCAGTGGCATCCTCAGAACATCTGCAGCTGTTCGAATTTAAAGAACTAAGACATTTTTAAGGCTGATTTTAAGAATATAGGGTCAATTGGTGCCACTGTCACTCTATTTATACTCATCAACATGATGCCTTTGTACAGATTGTTCAACGCCTATTGTTGCCCAATACAGTAAAATGAAGCCACTACTCTCATCAGAGAATTAATTACCTCTTCCCATCTTTACTTCCAACACCTGATAGGAGATCACTCTGTGTGTAGTTGACAGGTGCTCTGGTGTGGGTTTTTTTATTCTTTCCTATCAAACATCTTTTGTCCTTATCTCTCCCACTTCTTTTCTTCATAGGTTTATCTTTAATAATACAGTAGTCTCCGCCTAAGATCCCGGTGCACGGGAGCAAGGAAAAGCGGGATCTTAGGCGAACCGGGATCTTGACCGACGAACCCAGGGAAGAATCTATGGTGACCCGTGTTAAGGCCCACAATCGGTAAAATGGTCTCCCTCCACTCTGAAATGAACTGACGTGACTCCTGGGTGGGTTTATGACACATGGCGAGCAAAGAGTGGTAAACCTCGATGACCTATCACAGTGCATAGTGGCATGAGACGTGCCATTTTCACTTATTATCCTGTCATGAGTCTCCAGATCTACGCTTATCCAGTTGCCCCTCCTCTTTACCTGTCGAAAATATATAGCTTTCCATCTCTGACCGAGTCCCCCAACCACCTTTGTCTTAACACACCATTACGTTGTGACCCCACCAATCAAAATTCAGTCTCTTTCGCAAATTCGGGAGTAGAGACAACTTCTGCAATGGTCGGGGAAGAGTTCACAGTTCAATGTGATCTCGCCAGGAGCGAACGTGTAGGCCCCGGTGTGATCCCGTCTGGGGCAAACATTGTATCGCTTCATCGAGTTTTACAACGTGTATGTGATCATATTCACAATAGTGGATGATCTTTGACGTGACGGACAGTTTGTTGATCTCAGACTTTGCACTCTTGTTTGATCGGCTGTGCCCGCCCGGGTTTTTCCTTACGCAAATTATGATCTGAAATGCGGGATCTTAGCCGAATGTAGACCTTCAGAGTGAATCAGATCGGGATCTTAGGGGTGACTTTTGTATAGTAAAAATTCTGTTTTCTTAAAACAGCGGGATTTTAAGCGAACCGGGATCGTAAGCGGTGGGATCTTAGGCGGAGACTACTGTACCTCTAACCTTCAGCATTATATGACCTACTCGTATTTGTGTTGTAAGTGCCTTGAAACACTTACTAAAACTTTAATAAAGGAGATCCTTCATGCCTCGCCAAGAAATGCTTTCAGTCAGGAACAATGAATATAATAATAAATTTTAGCAAATCGTTTCGAAAAAAAGGACGACTCAGCCAGTGAGCATTTCGAACTCTTTTGACATAAATGCTTTCTTTGGCAGCGTTGCATTAATTTTCTACAGTGTTCTTACCACATGAGTTTCCACGAGCAACTTTGCTGTAGCAATGCCCTCTGTCACAATGAATGTGAAGGAGCTCTCATCATACGCCCAGTTTGGTATAGACTGGAACTCATAGCTCTTGATAACATCCTAAGAATACAGAAATTAAAAAAATATACTGTCGAGCATGGATAACTCAAACACGTCAGGATGGGCAAATGTGTTTGACACATCCATAAGTCTTGTGAACCGACGTAATGAAATATTAAGGAGATATCAGTCAGGGAATGACAAATTGTATGAGCACTCCATGAATTCGAGTTTTCTGTGTCCATGTTATCTGTGTCCGACTGTATGTTGGCTACGGAATACAGATGATTAGTGGAGAAGAAAGAATCTCTTTTTCACCCTACTGAGGATGTGCGTTCTGATCATTTGACGATTGGAAATGCACTTTAAGAAGAAACATTAAAAAATCGTAACTTTTGTTGTCTTAACAGATTTTTCAATTCTGTTCGCAAAATCTGAAGAATTATATTAAGTATACATGTATAGTAACATAAATTTACTTGGTATATGATAGTTTGAAATGTGTAACAGAATTTTTTTAAAATATCAATAAGAAGTTGCCATGGGTTTTTAACGCTCATGGAATCATAACAAAAAAAAGTTTTAAAAGTTAAAAGCAGTAGGAATGAAAGTGAACGAGTGTTCGTACTTTCACACGAAAAAATCTTTCTTTGTGCTGTAAAACTAAAAACAGAAACTTAGATGTACCTGTGGCCATTTTGTCAACCACGCACTTAAAGTTCTTGCGCACATTGGCTCAATACAAATCAGATGAAAATGGCAAATAGGACACACCTACAAGACGTCCTATCTTGGCTGCCTATGATAAGTACCACCATTAAGGATTTCCTTATTAGATATGACATATATGTCTGATGCGACTTCAATGAGTTTTACAAAGCAGTAAGACAAATTCGATGATAAAGGAAAAGAAAACAGAAAGGAGTATCAAAAAATCAAATTTGAATTCATTTTTTTCATTTGCCGACTCACAGATTAAAAAATGTGTAGATAAGAGTGTGTCATGTATTCAGAATACAAAATCAGTTTAAACAGTACTGTTAAACCTGCTCTAACACTACTTAAAGCCATATGTTAGGCAGCGTTGTGGTGAAATAGCAAAATAATGTAAGTGAAGAAACTGGCATTTTTCCGCAGGTTTGGGAATTTTGGTTAAATTTTTGCTTTCTGGCTCAACACCTTTCATGTCCGTTAAAAACACATCTATGAGAGGGTTTTACTGAAAAACGTTGATTAAAGGAACAAAAAAAGTAAATTTTCAGTTGCCACAGACTCTCAAGCTAAGAAAATAACTAAACTTTGGCGGCCATTTTCTTGCAAATTTGACCTTCGAAACCAGGTGACCCCCACTTCCTTCAATTGCCAATATCTCGACTTGTATCCAAGATAAATGGATATTTTATCATAGAAAGCTAGATTAATGAACAAGCTTTAAGATGATAAAAAATAACTCCACGTGCCCAAAAAATGACGAGCGCCTGATTCCACTGCGTCGTGACACAGACAATCACTAGTATATACCATTATTTCCCCCTTGACCCCTTGTCTTCTTTTTTTTTTTTTTTTTTTTTTTTGTTTCTTTAAAAAATTATATTGTCATGAAAATGACACTGTTCCAGATGTCCTTCAATCTAAGATGATCATGTTTTTCCTCAACAATGAGTGGCCATCCATCTTGGACAATTTCGACTGTGCTTTCAGAATCAGTGCATATAGCTCAATCAGGACTTACATTACACTAGGAACAGGTTAGAATGTGAATAATAACTGGGAGTTCTAAAATAATAGTTATGAAAGACTTTAAGACCATATGCTTTGAGGTTTGTGCTGTTTTAGAAAATGAAAGCTATTTTAAACATATACCTTGAATCACTGTTAAAACAATCAACATCCACTATGGGAGGCTTTTGAGTCAAATTTATACCTTTGTTGTCCCATTGATAAGGTGAACACCAGAATAGTTGATGGCAACCAGGCAGGACTTGGGCAGGGTCGTCATATGCCGTTGCTGAGGTGGGGGGAAAAAAAGACACTACATTGTAATTGTAAGCGGTTTACACCACTTTCAACAAAATCTTGACGACTTAGGCGGCAGGCTACTTCAAAATTGCCAGTTAGGGCCATCCAACCTAGGTTAATTGGGATGTAGCATTCCATTAAACAAACTGAGATGCTCAGTAAAAACTCACTCCTATTAAGGATCATCATTAAACTCACACCGCTAGGTGCATCAGCAAAGAGACTTTAATAACTTCTACCCCAAAGATGGCAGTGAGAGGAAAAAAACAGTTCTCAGACAAGTGGATCATGAGCACAAAACAAATTTACTGTGAAGTCCATGCCTCTTCCAAGAAGCATTCGTTTTTATAAAATGCAGTGCAAAAATCTGCATTCCTGTCATTGCCCAAGAAAGAGTATGAATGCTCTACATCCTCTGAAACTCTTTCTATTTTTACTTTTACTTACTTTGACTTCAAAGAATACAGAGCCATATGTTGAAATCTTGCTCAGGATCTGTAAGAAAGCTGTCTTGGCTTGTTCTGAGTTCATGTTCTGACTGCTGTACTCTTGCTGAATTTCCTGCAGGAAGTATCAAAAGAATCAAATATGATTATTACCTAAACTTCAGGTACAGGTAAAACAAAACCCAGAAGAAATTCATGCTGATCAATAGTATTCAACTTTTAACTTCTTCATTAAAACCTGATCTCTTCTGCTCAAATTAGGCCCTATACAGAACAGGACATTAATAAATAAAAATAGATTCAACTCTCCATTTTCAAAGAATCTAAGCCTAACAATAAACATGTATCACTATTTATAAGTTTGTCGACCAATTCCAATCATCAGTCTCAAGATCATAAACAAAGATATTTACATCATCAACTTTGATTCTGTTAGAAAACTTTTAAAATAATAAAACTGATATTTAGATTTAGAAAAAGTTTTGAGTACAATGTTATGAGAAAAGACTGAAGAGAACCCCAAAAAAGAAAAATTCACATAGCCTACTTCTTGAATAGCTTTGGCATCTTTCCCTTCAAGGAATCCTTTTGGCAGGATGATCTGTTCAATTTTACTGAGGATGGTATAAAGTAAATTGCTGTTATAGCAAACCATACAAAACTAAAAATGATTTTTTTTTAAATAACGAGAGATGAGGTTGAGAGACGCTTGATAGGAAACCACATGAGATCACCAGCCAACCACTCTCAAATAGTTGTGATAATCTGGCCCTCCAGGAAATCGCGGTCTTGCGGCAACGTTTTTCGTCGAGTTCCGCAATAAACCCGCAATTGTTAGCAATTTTCGCAATTTCTTGCAATTTTAGGCAAAAATACATCAATGCTTTAATTTTATCAGAATTTTTAATACGAAATGGTGCGAGTACAGAGCCGATAGGCCTGCGTAAATCATGGTATCGGCCTAGCTCAAGCCTACTGAGCTTACTATAAAAGCTATAACCGGAAATTCAGGCCGGAATGCATCATGTACAACACAAACTGAGACATAGGCTAGGCTGAGAAGGTGGCCTTCTCTGGGTTAGGCCTTTATCTAATGTGTGTAAGTGTGCGCATGTGATAAGAAAGTAGGTGTGTGAGGTGTACGTGAGTGTGTGTGCGTGTGAGTGCGCGCGCGTGAATATTGTTCGTACATGATGCATGTGTCTACATACCCGGGAACCGTCACTTAGTCTCAGTATCTTCTGCTCGTAAAGAGGCGAAAAATCAAACCATCACATCACAGAAGATGATAATAGAAGTATGCCTAAACAATAATATAATGAATCTTATTTATACATCCCATTTACACTCAGAAAGTGCTCAATGTGCTTTACACTAATAAAAAAACATGAGCACAATACTGTTCCAATAGAGATCCTTTCTCTCCATCTCACCCCTTCCGCCCTACTCTCTCCCCACTCGCTCTGTTATATATGCTTGCACACAGTAAGTGCCACATATTATACACCAATGTGCACATTGATTATGACACACAGTCACTTGTTACTAGAAGAGCATGAATAGATAAAATCCATACTGGAATAACTATTTTATTGGTGGTAGATGTATATAATATTATTATGGTATTAAAACAATTTGTGGTACCTGAGATCTGTAAGCTTGCTTTCATCTTTCCCATGCTGAGCTCTGTATGAAAGAGCAGCTAGCTTTGGAACAACACTATCTGACACTTTGTGATACCCCCGTAGGTAGTTTGGAGATTCCTGAGGAGATAAATTGACCATTATTTGTTTTACCTCTTATTAGACGACCCCCACCTCATTCAATCGCAAATATTTTAACTCTTATTCCAAATACACAAGTATTTTTTCATTGACAGCAAGACAAATGAATAAGCATTAAGATGATACCACCCAAAAATTAACGGGCACCTGATTCCACCACGTCATGACACCCATAAGGTTAAACTATTTTATTCATTACAAGTGTCTGGGACGACAGGTAAGAGACCCTGTCCTGAGATCTATAGCAGATTTTTACAGAGAAACGGATAGAAGAAGTAAAGTATAGCTCCCTTTTGATTTGCTTGATTTTGTGTGCAACATTTGGGGTTATCATGAGGATCACAGTGGATTTGGAGCTATGTCTCTTACAGTTAACCACAGGCCGTGATCCTTGAGAAGTGTGAAGACAGATTGGGGGGGGGGGGGGGGGGGGGGGGTTGTACTTCACTTTTACAAAAAAAAACTCCATACTCTTTTGAGCAAACAGGCCATGGATTAAACAGTCAGCTAACCAGCAAGGTGAGGACAATACAGTACACAAAACTATAAGCAGGCCTACAGTCAAACTTGCTTTAATGACTATGACCTGTCCAAGACAAATCACATTGCAAATGACCTCTTCCCACTTCACCTCTTGTTTTATTTTTTTAGATTATAATGACACTGTCCAAAAGGACCACCTATTTGAGATGACCAATTTTCTCTTTGGCAATGGTTGGTCATCACTGACAGATTCGACTGTATACATTTTATCAACGTACTTGAGGAAAGTGAAATGTCTGGTCAGCCATAGGATCCACGCCAGGTTGCCCATTGACCCAAATTTTTTTCAACATGACGAGCAATGGGGTTTGTCCAGTCTTTCCAGGGGATACTAAAAGCAAGCAAATAGAAAAAAAAGAGAGAAAACATCAATGATTTAAAGCAGTTTTCCTTGAATAATAAATTCTTATCTCCAACTAACTGGAGAAAAAAAAAATCATATTACATTTATATTTATAAGGAAAGCGATTTAGTGCACTTTCAGGGCAAACATTTAAAAGTAGAGTTTCATCTGTTTGGATGAGCCTTGTAAACCATTTTTACATTGAAAGTCAAGAAATAAAGAAACTTTACCCTTGCTACAATATGCTGTGAGGTATAGACAAGAACTTCCCAACCTAAATGATATCGATGATCTTTCACTACTGGTTAATTTGGTGATTTTGGTTGGTGGCGGGGATCACCTGGGTAGTGACAGGTATTATTCTATGCTCCGCTTGGAAATACATGTAGGTGTGACCGCTATGAAAATTTTAGAATTATTTAAATTGGTAAAAGTGGGTACCTGCTTTAAAAAGTTTGACAATCACGGATGTAAAAGATAGAACAGTATGATATATGACGGAAATACAGAGAACAAGGTCAGCTCAGACCATGAGACCAACTGTAAAATCAGACAAAAAAACAAAAATATCTTTAAATGCTAAAGGGAATGGGATATCCTTTTCTTCAATAGTTTTACTTTTAGTCTGAGTTGGAGCTTTCCAGCACTTGCAACACAATAGGTAATACAAATTATGAAAATTAGAGGTGCTTCGAGAGAGTAATCTACAAAGAAAAGTAGGAGGAGAGAAATTTGGATTACAGATGTTTGAGTTTGATAGGAAAGAAGGAGCAAACAACACCAGAGCCCCCTCTAACCACCCACACTTTTTTTTTATAACAAGAGAGATTTTTTTAAATCCATTAAGAATTCTTCAGTATGGAAAGTATGTTTTGCAGAGTGCTATAATAATCATAACAATAGTATGGAGGGTTCCATTATATTATAACAGAATTGTCATGTGCTGCATTGGAACACAATTTATGTCAAGCTCATCAACACAACATAAAACTAAATGCAAAATCTTATGAAATCACATGACAATTTAAAATTATACAGTGGAATCCTGATATAACAAGAGGGAGGGGACTGGTACAAAAAGTCCGTTATAGCAGGATTCTCGCTATAAGGGATCCAGTAATAAATTTGAAGGATATAATAAAGTAGGTCTAATCTATGAGTTTGGTAATCTGTTAATTTCTTTTTGTTATCGCCCCCTGATAATGATTTTGCCAAACATGACCTCTTGGTCTTACTTGATCAAAAATGGAATCAGGTTTTTCTTTCTCCAGCACTAGCAATGTTGACAGCTCGGCGTTGACCATCAGAAAGAAAGTTCTCTGGGCTAACTCGCCCGCTGTGTTGTCCTCCACCCCACCATACCCTGTGGTGCGTTCTGTCTGCTTGCATATGTCATACGTTCACTCCATCCAGCACAGAACTATGGCCTCTCTATCCCCGCATCGGAGAAATGAGAGGCATGGTAGACCTAGATAATCTAGACTAGGCTGGCCTATCGCAATGCGTTCTGCTTCACAACTGCTTGTCTCTGCACGATACACCCTCCCCACTCATTCACTTCAGCCTTCATTGTTGGCACACGTGGGCTCTGCCATCTTTTGTTTCGCATCACCAAGTTTCTCAACTTGCAAAGTTTTACATTATGTACAATTGACCTATGCTCTGCGCACAGCAGCAGCACTATCCCGCTATAACCGACTCACGTGTTTGTCTGATTGCGCTATAGCAGTATTTTATTTATAAATATACAGAAGGGAAAAAAACAGGGTTTTAGAATAGTATCTTTATAACAGACTTATCATTATTTAAGGACTCATTATAAGAGGACTCCACTGTACTTTGTAATAAAATGGAGAATGAAAAGTGAGGTAAATGGTGCGCTTAACATTTTATATCATGTTGAGAAGCCTCTATCAACACGGACAAGTCACTCACAACTGTTTCTTCTCTTGCTGTTAAACCAGAAAATCTCAGAGTGGGTAAGGCAGTCAAAATAGTACAGTCTGTCCGACAGGCAATGGACTGGTGAAAGAGAAAAACAAAATTATTTTGAAATCATTGAATAAAATATCATATTTTTAAATCTCCCCCGCCCCTTCAGGGAATGTAGGGGTTACAATGGCAAGTGCAATATAATAATGGAATAAGTCAGCGGTTTCTTCGATGAACATCAGTTAATGTCAAATACTATGGTGTTGGTGGTCTAGTGGTTAGGCTGTTGGGCTCACAGCTCAAAGGTTACGCATTTGAACCCCATGAGGGGACCAACATTGTTTCCTTGGGAAAGCCTTTTGCACCCAAACTGGAATGGATACCTGGCTATGGTGATGTTGAAAGATCTAGTTAATTTTTTAATGTTTGAGCACTTTATAATTGGCTGCTCGCATTAAATGCTTCTCGAGAAGTCCTGAGTATTATTAGGTGTTCCACGGTTTGCTGTGAGGTAATAACAGTGGAAAACCCTATAGGCCTAGAGTTCACAGTAGAGTATTGCACTTGTTATTTTTATGTGATGATAGAAGCCATGAGAATCACTTACTTACATACAAAACTTAAATCTTCTGACTGCAGTGCCTTTTCAAGACCTATTATTTTCTTTTTTTTTTTATATTAAAAAAACCTAAACAGATTAAGCAGTACTCAGTTAATAAGATGCAAAAAGCACAAGAGAGATGTAGCTTTTCAAATACAGTCGAAATTGTCTTTAAGATCATGACCTTCACTTCACTGATGAGGACAAAAGTGGTTGATATAGACAGCTGGCAAATGTCATTATGAAATAGAGAAAACAAAAACAATGGGGGAAGTGGGAAGTGGCCGTCTGTTCAGGTGATTGTCTTGGACAAGTTGCCTTTAGAGCAGAATGACTGTATGCAAGAAATTTTGTTTATTTCAAATTTCCACCCTTTGAAAGGTTTGTTATAGTAAGAATGTTATGGTGCTTGCAACACAATTAGGTAATATAAGTGCTGCGGATAAGAGGGGTTGCAAGAGATAAGCATACACAAAAAGAAGGAAGAGAGATCTGTTTGCTAAAAAAGAACAGCAAACCACACTAGAGCACTCGTCAACCACCCACGTCGCAAGATTTCCCAAGAGCCACTCAGACGACAAAAAAGATCAGCAGAAAAGAAGAGAAAGTGATGTTGTAGTTTCAAACAGTGCCTTTATAAGACTATATAAGACACTTTGAACAAAAAGGGGTAAAATTAGAAAACGACCTTTGTCATTGGCAGTGAAAAACAGACTGTACTCTGAGAATGTCCTCAGCTTCAACCTTGCTGCAATTTCCTTTTTGATGTCAAATATTCTTGTACCACTCGTCACCTCAATGGTCTGACAAGTAGAAAAAATACAATTAAAGTCATCATGAGCCTGTCAACAGTCTGATAAGTTGTACAGAATACAATAAAAGACAACATGAACTTGTCCAAGGCTAGAGAGATAGAGAGAGGGAGAGAGAGAGAGGGGGGGGAAGACAGAGAGAGAGAGAGAGAGAGAGAGAGAGAGAGAGAGAGAGAGAGAGAGAGAGAGAGAGAGAGAGAGAGAGAGAGAGAGAGAGAGAGAAATATAAAATAAGATACATTAAAGGAGATGAACCTAGTGTAACCTTAATTTCTAGGGTGAAGTACAACACGTTGAAAAAATAATTAATAAAAAAATATTTAAAAATAATTAATAAAAAAATATTTACACTTAAAATATTATAACATCCTTTCAATATGTTATTAGGAAAACTAATTTTTTTTAACCTTTTCACCCTGTTGCTCAAAAATAGCCTTGTCAACAACTGGGACCTTTCTCCAGGCACACACACATACGATAGGCAAGGTCTGGCACATGAGAAGCAGCATAAACATACAAAATAAACACAGACTATGTTTTCATAACTACTGCAACAATGATATAATTATATTATGATGAAAAGAGGAGTTAGCTGTTTCATTTTCATTTCCTTAAATATCTGTTTGTCCACTCAAAGATGGGTGTAAGGGTATAGCACCCCTTTCAACACAGTTACTTAGGACAAGAAGTAAAATCTCTCTATGAGATGTCCAGTGGCGGTGGGTAGTGAAGGGCTTACGGGCTTGAGCCCCACACCCCAACCCCTCCACACCCCAACTCTATCCCTTAGTTAATGAAAGTTTCTTAAATAACTAAATAGGCAGTTGAAACCGCCATGATCTCACGCAATGGACACACAGTTATCAGCTTGGCGGCTTGCCCGTTTATCCAATCACTGTTGTCACCGCTTACAACTATAGTAACCTAACAGCCAATCAAATGTCGTTAGGGCTCTGAAAGAATAAGCCAGTTCCCACGCCCGTCTTTAATGAAACTCTTCCTGTAAAAAGGTAGAAGACTTTTAAAAAATAACACTGCACAGAGGGCTCACGCTCTCCCAGCCCTGACAATGGGGTGAAAGTTTACGACACACTTTCCCCAGTGACACAGATGCCTATGCGCCCATTGGGCCTTTGTTAGGCGCGTTCTATTTTCCGCAACAACACAACCCAATCCACCTCATGCACGATGTGTGCTTGGAGAGTTGTGTGTTTGTGCAGCTGAGATTTAACCGTTATTAATTACATTAAACCACTTTTGAGGCAACTTTTTCTTCAGATAAAAACTAATCAGAGAAATTTGGAGGTGAAACGGCTTCGTCCCCACCATCCAGAAGAGCTTAAATTTAACTAAAAACAAAGAGATGGAAGACAAAGGTGACTCTTCTCGTTTGAATGGTTCTCAAAATGCCGTGGCTCGCTGTGAGTATAGAAAAATGATCACTGTTTTGTTCTTATTGCTTGCTTTTTGGTGGTAAAGAAGTGAAAGAAATCTAAGACCCTCCCAAATCTTGGTCCACCCACCGCCACTGGAGATGTCCATCTTCGATAACACAAAGCCATTCAGTTGAGAACCTCAAAATCTCCACAATACAACCTATGTTCAAAAACATCCTGTTGGTGTTTGTGATTCGAGCCAGAATCATTCATTCTATAGTCAAACGTGATATAAGTACTGAGCTAACAGAGCGTCCCCACTCACCTGAACACTCTGATTTGGCAAGCACACTTGTACCCGTACGTTCGGCTGCTGGTGGAGGACCATCTCATGCTCTTGTACATGGGAAGGGTACAGACGACATGCGCCTTTCCTAGAGAAAGTAAAATTAACAAATAACAATATTTTCAAAGTTGCCCAGCATTGATGGCTCTTGCATTCTAGGAAAATAAAACACCTATATTATAGATTCATAAACAACATCATGTGTGTAGGAAAATAGCTCACCTATATTCTTTCAGAATTAGAGGCTAGCAGGAAATTATGTTTCCAAACGGCATATTTCCCGTAATTCCCTGGAAATTAGCACCTTATATTTTTAAACACATGCTATTTTTGTGAAATTTGCACTCTAAAAAAACTATATGAAATTTAAAGAAAATTAGCACCCTAATAATTTGAAACAACATGCCATTTCTGGGAAATTAGTACCCTTATACTTTAAAACCTAAAAAACTGGCCATTTTCAGGAAATTAGCACCCTTAAACATTTTAAACAACAGGATGCTTCCAGAAAAATGGTGGCCCATAACCTACCACAACATTACACTTCCTGGAAAACACTACTACTACTACTGTTCATCATGAAACTTCCAGGAAAATACGAGGGCTGTCCCACGGAAAACCGGAATTTGGCTGTAATTTGAAAACTATTCAATATTTTCACATTCTGTAAACGCACACTTGTAAAACAATCATTTAGAAATTTCCCGATTGAGCACCATGAGCATCGCACAAACCAAACAAGCACAGCAGTTCTCAAAAGATGGCTACCCCCTTGGAAAATTGGTCAAGGGTTGAAGTGAGGTCTGTCATTCGGTTTCTGACCGCAAAAGGTCTCAAACCTCTAGAAATACACACTGAAATAAAGTCAGTTTATGGGGAGAAAGTAATGGCAAAGTCACAGGTATATGAGTGATGTAGTAAGTTCAAAGCCGGGCACTCCGATATCAATGACAAATTGTACCCAGGATCTTGTTTTTCTGCCAAAACTGAGGACAACAAGAGTCGCGTTAACAAACTTATTCAAACAGACAGGCGCCTAAAAATTCGCGAAATTTGCGAGTCGCTAAACATTTCAAAGTCGACTGTCTATAGGATAGAGTTTGATGAGCTGCACTATTGAAAGGTCTCTGTTTGATGGGTTGGGGCCGAAAAAGACCAGCGGGGTCATTTTGCAGCATGGCAACACAAAGCCACACACCGCAAACGTCTCGAAAGACTGGTTCCAAAGGTTCGGCTAGGAAGTTCTACTTCACCCCCCTCACAGTCCTGACTTGGCGCTGTCAAATTATCACCTTTTTGAACCAATGAAACGCCATATTTCTGGACAGCGATTCACCGACGACGAAGACCTCGTGGAAGCCGTGAACGATTGGTTGAAATCCCTTGACGAAAGATTTTTCAGGGAGGGTATCTTCTCCCAGATCCAGCGATGGGAAAAATGTGTCCAGCGGGATGGTGATTACATTGAGAAATAAAGCACATATTGAGGTATGATGTGTTACAGTTTTATTATATTAGGACAAAGATTTTTGCTTTTACGGACCTTTTCCGGTTTTCCGTGGGACAGCCCTCGTACCACCTCCAGAATACACCCCTACATTCTTAAACAAAATCTTTTACACTCTCTTACTTTCTGTTTAACTTCAAGTTGACCTCACAACGATGGGCTAGGGGGTGTTGGGCGGAGCGGATGATGGTCAGTAAGTGGTCAATCAGTTCGTTGCTTGGCTGGCACAATGACGTCAATAGTGTCAACAGCACCCAGCCGCGGTCTTCATTGTTTCTGAAGTGAAAGAGATAAACAAAGACATCTCCTAAATGATCTAGATCAGTGGTTTTCAAAGTGGGCGCTACCGCGGTGGTGACAGTTTGGGGGGGGGCGCTGTAGCAAAATTGGGCGATTGGGGGGCGGTGGTGGGCGTTAAGGGGGTGGTGTGAGATTTTCATGAAATGAAACATAAAAAATGGTGAAAGGAAAGAAGCCACATAAAAAAAAAAAATTTGTAATGTATAACTTAGGCATAGTTTACAATACTACTTATTACTAAGAACTTTCTTTCCCAGCACTCAAAGCCCATATAAAGATGATTCATCCCGGCAAATATGACAAAGATCTGGCATACTTCAAAACTCTAAAGATCAATTTTCAGAAATAAAAATCAATTAAATCGATGTTTGCAGCCGACGTCGATCGAGCTGATGAAGACTTAAAAGCAACTTATAATTTATCTCTGCTAATTGCAAAGGCAGGCAAACCACGTACTCTCGGTGAGGACCTCATGTTACCTGCAATAAGAGAGGTGGTCAGCACAGTCCTGCACCATGCCCCGAGGCTGTGTTGAACGTTCTTGCCATTAAGTGACAATGGATGAGATGTCAGCAAATGTTAAGGAATCATTGTGAAAAATGCTTAAACGACGTGAGTTCAGCCTTCAACTGGATATCGGTTCATAGAGGGTGTGGTAAATAATGCAAGAATTGTTATTTGCGAAAATGTTGGAAACAGATACCAAAGTCGAGTCCATTTTCCAAGTGGTCCAAGAATTTTTCGAGGAGAAACAGATTCCTCTGGCCAACGTAGATTGCCTGTGCAACAAATGGAGCACCGTTGATGACTGGTCGGTACCGTGGATTTAATAGCTTCTTGAAGAAATCAGTCCCTGGAGTACTAACTGTTCGCTGTGTCATTCACAGACAGAATTTGGTGGCAAAAAAACCTGAATGAAAGTCTGCACGACACACTGGCCATTGCCATCAAGTGTGTGAACAAGATCAACGTCCACGTTTTGAACTCGAGATTATTCCAACAGCTGTGCACTGAAAATGACGAGAACCTTCAAGTCCTTTTTTTGCACACTGAAGTCCGGTGGCTCTCAAAAGGAAACGGTTTAACACGATTATTGTTCTGCCTGTTTGACTCTGTGCTGGAGCTTTTTTCAAGAAACAGACAGTGATCTCTGCAATAAACTGAAAGAACACAAGAACAACATTTCGTTTCTCACAGATGTTTTCACAAAGTTAAACCAGTTCAACTTGCAGCTGCAGGGGGATGACACCAACCTGATCAAGGCAAACTCCTTGCTTTCGTCATTCTTGTCGAAATTGGAAATGTTTCCCCGAAACATTGGCAGAAGAGAATTTGCTCAATTTCCTAGCTTGACAGAGACACTGAAAGAAGGGCGGGTTTCTGACGAGGAACTAGAAATATATACTAACCACCTCAGAGATTTTCATGCTGATATGATCGCGAAGACAAGGTTTGTTGATATCTTTTAACTGGAAATTCCAGACTGGGTACTGGACCCACTCAATACTGGAACAGATGGTGACTTGACAGTGGCAATTGAAGAAGAGCTGACAGTGAAAAGTGACTTTGAAATCAAAACCATTTTTCAAAAAGTCGTACCAGTCATTCCGGTTGAAAACTATTGTGCAAGACAAATATCCCTCCCTGTGGGAAAATATCAAGTTGTTGCTCATCGCTTTTCCCACCTCCTGTCTAGTAGAAAGGGGATTCTGTGCAGTGACAAGGTTGCTGACGAAGCAGAGGAAAGAATTAAGGATCACAGAGCGTGGCGATTAGCGTCTGCTACTGACCAATCTGAAACCTGATGTTGATAAGTTGGTTTCGTCTCACCAGGTCCGTATTTCCCATTAAGACAGTGTCAATGACTTATTTGTATATGATTACTCCGTAGTTTACCCTTACTTGATACCTGAATACGTCTTTTCTGTTTTTGGCTTTTCTTTCTTCTTTTTCTAAAGCAAAATACTCACTTGTTTAATAGATTTTGTTATGTGCATGTGCTGCCACTGCTGATGAAATTAATGATGATGATGACGGCGATGATTACGATGATGGTGATAATTACAGACTAAGATCCATGCATACTTTTTCTTTCGTGTGGTTTCTCACATTCGAACGGCTTAATAATAATTTTATGTTCTACAATGGAGATATTTGATATACAAATCTCAGGCAACTTTATTGCAGCACCTTGATGGGAGAAAACGTTTCATAAAAATAATGTCAATCTGTTTTCAAACTAATGATCACTATTTTTGGGTTCTTTTTTTTTTTGTGTTTTGCTTCTGTAAACGTCATAATACATGTTTTACTTTTATTGATGTTAACAACACTGGTCGTTTAATACTGATGACACATATGCATAAAATGACAGTATTTTGTTCTCAGTGCCCTTGCATAACATTGAAGACAAAATGTGTTTTATTATCTCTCGTACACGCTTAATTAAAGTAAGTTTATTCAGTGTTTAAGGCCATTAGCCCCCATCACATGGCACAAAACATTCATTTGATAAATAATGTTTCCATAATGAATAGGTAAAAGTTGTGCACATATCTCTTATCATGAGACAAACATTGCATATTTCTGTCACTGGGCTAAGTCAGGCTGGGAGGAATTAACAATTTCCTTTGATGGACAAAGTGTGAACAATAGAAAATAAAGTGAAATTCATCTTCAATTTCATGAGAGTTACACCTCTCACATAAGGGCGAATTAGTTAATTTCCACCGATAGAGATTGTTATTTAGTGGAAGGCTATGAGTTTTTAACAAAGCTACGATTCTTCTTTTCCAATACCGTGGAAGGTTGGTGATATATTCAGCTGAAACGGAATAGTAAGAGAGAATAAATTATACTTGCGACAGACTTCTTCCTCTATGTTCTGCACAGAATGATCAACAAGTCTACTTTTTTACTTCACTGAGAAAGAGTCTAGTGCTTCCAACAATTTGAGAAAACCAGGCATATCCAAAACCCAGGGAAAATAATGTTTTTAACTTCCGTAGCCAAGTTGACTCTGCCCAGTGCACAGGAACGATATAATTGCATCTAACATTTCTTTGAATATCTGTCATTTTCTAAGTGTTTAAGTCTGCACCAGAATTTAATGACACAATGCATGTAATCAGAACATAAGTTTAAGACTCTGTAAAGATGGTGATTTGTGACCCAACTAAAATTCAGAACCAAATCATTAGAATTTAGGCACTTCATTTTGTACCCTACTTTTTGAGCTCTCTCTTTATTTGTGATTGTTATTATATTATGCATGTTGTTATGTCATATTGACGGTTGGGGCGGAGTAGGGGGCACTAGGACTCGGCTGGGTGAAAAAGGGCGACAAAAGTTTGAAAACCACTGATCTAGATTATGTTGTAAAACATTTACAATGTATTTGGAGAGAGAGAGAGAGAGAGAGAGAGAGAGAGAGAGAGAGAGAGAGAGAGAGAGAGAGAGAGAGAGAGAGAGAGAGAGAGAGAGAGAGAGAGAGAGAGAGAGAGAGAGAGAGAGAGAGAGAGAGAGAGAGAGAGGAGAGAGAGAGAGAGAGAGAGAGAGAGAGAGAGAGAGAGAGAGAGAGAGAGAGAGAGAGAGAGAGAGAGAGAGAGAGAGAGAGAGAGAGAGAGAGGGCACTATGGATTCTCCCCTTGGTGTGTCACCTAACATCCAACATTTTCCTTGCTCCCAAGCAACGGGATATTATACATGAGAGCCATTCCATGTTTCAGTTGTCTCCAAGTGTCATTACTTTTGAAAATTCCAAAGTGTTTCTAGATACCTTCTATCTATTGATTAATTTAGAGTAATACGTTTTTTGGTTAAAATGTAGATGAAGGTTGTCTCTAACAAAAAACAAGATATAGAAAGACTTTATAATTTAGATTTTTTTTTAGCAACTCCTTCCCCCCCCCCCCCCCCCCTCTGCAAACACAATTTAGATCATTTAGGAGGTGGGCTATGACCATGCCTGAAAAGGCCAACGTAAGCTGAGAGGGATACAACATCCTCGATGAAAATACTCCCCTCATTCGGGAATAAAATAAAGTCTCCTGTGTGTGACAGCAAAGCACTCAAATTATGAGCTACAACACAGATGCCAGCCTTAACAGTGTAAAAATATGGCTTACTTGTCTGGATTGTTTGTTACTTGCTTGATGACTTGGCAGTAGATTTCATCCCTCATGTATTTCTGAGGAAATGAATACAACATCATTCTTAGTTTTGAGGAAAAGATATTTCATCATTAAAAGGGCTTGAAAAGACAATTCTGCAACACATGTCACAAAGAGATAGAAAGATTATTTTTAGCTTAAGTACTAGTTTTATGACTCTTGCTGCAAAAAACTGTTAATATAATTTCTAAAAATAAGAGGAGTTACTAGTGAGTAACGTACAAAGAAAAGGAGCAGGAAAGGTAAGGACGACAGATGTTTGATAAGAAAAAAGGAGCAAACCACATCAGAACACCCCTCCCCCCCCAACCACCTGCAAAGAGAATGTGTGGATAATATTTGAGAAAGGAAATGTAATTCTGCTAATATACTAATACCAGTGGGACAGGCAGAAGTCCTAATAAGAAAGAAATCAACATATCAACATTCCAGAAAAGGACGTACAAAATTTAAAAAAAAATTGAATAGACAAATTGATTTCAAGTATAAGTAGGGATTATCTTTTAGACTCTCCGAACTCACTATTTTTTGTTGACTACATACAAATATGTTTTTTGGGAATAATTCGAAGAGCTTATAAACACTAATTACTTCAGCATTCATGTTCCACGACAGCTCACACCACATCACATCCACATGTTTTCAAAACCATTTCACTCTCACCTTCCACCACACAGAAATATACAGTAAAGACAATGCTCACCTGAACCTGCCCACTGTTTTGTTTGTTTGTTTGTTTTTTTAATGTAGGTGTTTTAGACCCCCATCAATATAATTAAGATAATTAAGGAGGCAGTCTTCGACCCTGCTTGTCAAGGTCAACCTGGGCTGAGAAGGAATCTACGTCTTAGCAGAAAGAAGAAAGACCGAAATTCTCGATAAAAATTCTCCCCAGGAATCAATTTCAGTTCCAATGCGTGCATCAGCGAAGTGCCTACACCACTGATGCCAGTCTGTGTTCCACCAGACAGAGGTTGAAGTAGAAACAAAACCTAATCTTTGAGGACCAAATAGAAGGGCTACATATTCAATATAAATGAAGAGACGAAAATAAAGTAGTAAAATACAACTTATTTTTTTGACAGTAGTACATTGTTTTGAGATTATATTCAAAATACTGTCAAACCTGTCCAAAATGACTACCCGTTGTTGAGGAGAAAAGTGGTCATCTAACACAAGTTTTCCTCTTGGACAGTGTCATTATAAATAGGAAAAAACACAAAGGGATAAGTGAGAAGGGTTGTTTGTACATATGTGGTTGTCTTGAACAGGTGATCATTAGAGCAGGTTCGACTGTGACTGGAAATTTGAAATAGATGAAGACAATAATAACAGAGAAGTGGATATGTGAAGCTGATGATGTTGAGAACTAGGTCAGGATTTGTCTGACTTTTGGATTATTTCTTTGCAATTTGTGCTTTGCTACATCAATGTTTTCAGGGATTTAGATAATACTGCTGGTATTGTTTTTGTCTAAAGGTTCTGTTTTTCCTGTAAATTCCTGATTTGATAACAAGATGCAATATGCAATAAAGAAAGATAACAGGGCCTTCTGGTTGCTTATTTCTCGGTATCAGTGTTATCCAGGTAACAAAATTTTGTCAGCTCCTCCTCCCTCTTCTTCTTCTTCTTCTTCTTCTTCTTCTTCTTCTTCTTCTTCTTCTTCTTCTTCTTCCTCTTCCTCTTCCTCTTCCTCTTCCTCTTTCTCTTTCTCTTCTTCTTCTTCTTCTTCTTCTTCTTTTTCTTTTTCTTCTTCTTCTTCTTCTTCTTCTTTTTCTTCTTCTTCTTCTTTCTTTTTTCTTAAACCCTTTTAGACAGAACAGAGGCTTCTAGAGCAAGATACACGACAGAGAGATTCTTAGTAAGAATAGCACATTCTATTCACCCTCAAATGTTCACTCACATTTCTTCTTGCAGGCTCCAGAATCCAGTCTTTACACAGGTTGTAGTTTGCCATTTCATCATTGATGACCAGGTTCATCATATAAGACTGAAGGCTTACTTTAGGTCAAGAAAAAATCTTAAAATTTGTATAGCCATGAGGTAAGTTTGTAATAGATTTAAGTTTGGTGAGAATTTTTTAGCACTTGCAACACAATTAGTCAAAAAGGAGTTGAAGATTAGACGTGTCACAAGAGAGCGGCTTATACAAAAAACACAAGGAGAGAAATAAGGATCATAGATGCTTTATAGGAAAGAAGTAGCAAACCATTCCAGAGCATCCACTACACATCCACCAATAGTCTTTAATTGCAAAATAAACTTATAAAAAGAGAAAAAACATTTAATCAACTCTACCTACACCCCTTCCTCTCCTCATCTATCTCTAAAACACTCAGTAACCCACTACTCCTACCACCAGTAACGGCACGAAAAGAAACAAATATCAAATATCTACATTATTAATTAAGAAATCAACCTTTTCCCATATTTAACTATGATTCATAAATTTGAGAATAGTTTAAACATTTTTTAAAAAATGTATTTTACACCCCCATTGACACAATTTAGATCATTTAGGAGGTGGACTTTGATCCTGCCTATCAAGGCCAACCCTGGCTGAGAGGTTTATAATGTCCTAGCAGAGAAGCTAAGATACTCAATAAAAATTCTCCCACACTGACCTTGAACTCTGGTTTTCTGGCTGCAATAGAGAAGTGCCTTACCGCTACACCACAGAATAGAGTTGGGTCGAGCTCGCTAAACCAGCGTCCACAAGTAACGAACTACTTGCTGGCACTACACGCAAACGAGCGGATGGGTAACGAGCCTCCCCCCCCCCCCCAAAAAAAACAACCTTTGGGAATTCTTCGCCTTTGCAAATATTAGAACCTACAGAGAGTGACCCACACACGAGGTGAAAAGTTACACATATAGTACTACGTCACCAGCCTCTCTCACTCCCTGTGGTACCGCTAGTTGCTTGAAACACTAGGCTTTATTAACAAATAATAGACGATGGGTCTAACCTTGCGTCGAGTATCTCGTCTGCTAGAATTCGCCCGTTCGCCCACCCGCTCAGTGAATAAAATTGTGGAGTGGACCCAAGAAATGTACTGACTTGAGGCTGGAGGTCAGCAGTCCGCTCGCTGAGAGAGTAAAATTGAGGAGCGGACCCAAAAAAACTAACTGTCTTGAGGCTCGTAGTCCGCTCGCACGGCCGTCTATTACCCGCTCGCTCTGACTGAGTCCACGAGTAACAAACCCGTCCGTCCGCTCACCCAAACTCTACCACAGACACTGGTATACGTATTCTGTAATCAAGGATATAAGCAAAAGCATGGCAAGCCAGTTTGCGAGTATCGTCTCGGTGGCAGGTACGCTTCAGCAAAGGCTTTTTGAGGCCGTCTTTGCTGTAACTCCACAGTGCATCGTTCTTGTCTCTCTTGAAGGATGCTTTGCTAAGGAGTTTGGTGACAGTACTCTCAGTGGTAGGTCTGAAGAAAGAATGTAATTGATACAAACAAATAAAATGACAATTCATGCACTAGACAATTTACTATTGACATTTACTGGGATCTTCCTCGCTCCACCCAAGTAGGAAAGAGTACCCGGCTCCTGACAGCAAAAGATTTCATCAATTTGTTAGTGTTTTAGCACATGTCATCCACTACTTGCACTGTATACTTTTCTTCTAGGGTCCACTGGAGTAATAATGCAGGTAGTTTTAAAGCCCACAGAGCATGTTGTAGAGCCTGTATATGTACTATATAAATTCAATTATTTATTATCATAATTATTACCATTATTACTATTATCATCAATATTATTATTATTATTATTATTATTATTATTATTATTATTACTATTCAAATTCCGTTGAAGAGATTGTGTAAAGAGATTGTGGGCTTTATAACAATGTTTTCCTCTTTACTGTATTAAATTCATAAAATAATTTCCCTTAGTGTCCATCTTTCAGATCCACTCTTTATTTCCAATCAGCCTCTGTGTCTTTATCTTCTTTCTCCTCTCTATTTCATCCTTTTTTCGCAATATGAAGACAAAAACAAGCCTTATCCCTGGGGGAATCAAACCCTGGTCTATCACATGACATGGGATACTTACCACTATAACTACTGATGACACACATCTTTTACTGCAAAATCATAGATATTAGATATATATATATAAATATGTGATAAAATGGTTTAAATATGAATCTCAGTTTGTGCATGCAAAGGACTCTTTCAACAGCCATGAAGCAAGGTGCAGAGAAAGTGAATTGTTGCATTCATTAGCATGTCACCCAGAGCAAAAGGATAATGGGCCAGAGTTTTATGTTATACAATTGGTGAAAAAGGAACAAAATAAAAATAAATAAATGTCTGTTATTGTAAGCTACAAAAATAAAGATGGTCTAGATTGCACTTTGTCTTTTAGTGCAATTAGAATTTTATAATATCAATCAGTTTTCGAGCCTGTTGGTAAAAATAATTTGGAGTTCGCCTTATTAGAATACGATTATTATATGTAGTAGTTGTTGTACAAGTTTACGGAGTTTCTCACCTAAAATATGACTTTGCATACTGCTGCAGCGTTTGCCGGGGCTGTCTATCATCCTTCACAAACCGGCTGGCGTCTTTGCGTATCTGAGAGGTCAGTGTTGCCTGGGTAAAGATGGGGAAAAGGACTTAGCTTAGTTTTAGCATGAGTTTCATGGCACTAGCAGAATAACCTAGTCATTTAAGTGCTGTAGATTAGAGATTTTATTGGGGAGTGAAATACAAAGAAAAAAAGGAGAGATACGGACAATAGGTGTTTGGCAGGAAGAGCAAACAACATCAGAATACAAACCACTCATGGGGAATGAAAGATATGCCATAATGAGTTCAAATGTCATATGAGCGCACAAAACTATCCTCATACACCTTCAATACAATATAACATCTCTCCTGCATCCATTGTATCTATGCACCATCTGCTTAAGATTATATAAATATACCTAATGCAGCGGGAGAATATGCGAGCTTCACCATCATAAAATGCTAGTGTATGAATACAACTCACATGTGAGAGATGTTGTTATTTTAGACAAAAGAACACATCACACCAGGCCCAAAGCAACAGCAACAACCAACACAACAACAAAAAGTTAAATGTTTCATCTTTCAGGTCCTTCAAGAATTCTAAAAAGCCAAAAAGATGTTTCAACAAGGTCAAGAAACAACACCGACAATAACAGCAACAACAACAATGGCTATAACATAACATAAACCAGTATTTCAGATTTTAATTAAAATTAAAAGCATCAATAATAACAGCAACAATAAGAAAACTACAGGTTTTTCAGCTTTCTAAGGACAGCAACAACAACAGCAACAACAACAACAATAACAACAAAACAACAACAACAATAATAACAACAACAACAACAATAATAACAACAACAACAAGAAAATTACAAATACTGCAACTTTCCAATAAAATCCGACCATTGACTCCTACCCTAGAGACTCCATTCATATTTACACAGATGCGTTAGTCTTCAAGGGAACTATAAATTATAAATGCAGGCTTTGGGGTAAGTATTGAACATCCTGATAAAACATGTGAAGAACTATTTGATGCATGTGGTACTTCTTGCACAAATACAAATTACGATGCTGAGGCCATCGCCATTGAAGTAGCAATCCTCCACCTGACCAATATTTTCATAATATATCCAAATAAAATCGAGGACACTTTTATCTTCACAGACGGAAAATCAGTACTCCAAGCTTGGGAAAACATGAATTTCGAAAGCCCAGCCTGCCTATCCGTGGCTCAAACAATCAACACCTTCATACAGACCTATGCCATGGACCTGACTTTACAGTGGATACCTGGCCACAGCAAGATCCCAGGAAATGACAGAGCAGACACCCTTGCCAAGAAGGGAGCATCACAAACACAACCTCAAAACCCAGTATCACAACAGACAGTCCAGAACATCATCAAATGCAACACCAGGGAACAGTGGCTGAATGGATGGGCAATGGGCAAAACTGGAAGAACTGTATTTGCACACATGACTGCTCCCAACTCAAAAGATGCAAAAAATTCCCTGAGTTGAACAGAACAAGTCACGATCTTTAGCCTGTGAACACAGCACATCCCATTGAATTTCTACTTAAATAAGATCCGCAAGGATACCCTACCCGACTGCCCGGTGTGTGACTGCCAGGATGATAAGTATCACACCACCTCTTTACCTGCCCTGCACTTTGCGACCTGCATAGCACCTACCTACTGCCTCCCCAGACATCGGAAATACTCTATGCAGCGACAAAACACAGCTGATAAAAACCTGTAAATTCCTTGCCATACCCACAGGCCGAAGGGATAGAACTCAAATGGCTGCTGGATTGGAAAAGTAAAGTAAGTCCAATAACATCAACAGCAAAAACAACAAAAAGGAAATTACCAGTATCTCAGCTTTCAGATCCCCAGCAACGGGCACAATGTACAGAACATTTCTGGGCACCTCACTGGCCTTCCCGGTGCGCTGACTCGTCACACTGACCATCTCAGAGCCTTTCAGATCTCCCACACTCTGGCGGAGCTGCAACACATCTCCTTTTACAATGTTCATTCCATCCGGACCATCTGCACATAATGATGAAAGGTCAAGGTTATAGGGCGATATTTCATTACTCGTTATTCCTTCTGTTGAAGGGCTAACATGACAACGCAGTAATTTCCTTTGAAAGCCAAGTTTAAAAACTGTGTCACTTTTATTAGAAGTTTTACATTAAGCAACTTTAAGCAGTGTATCTGCTTCTCCTTCATTCTTGAATTAACAGTTTTTACAATAAAATGCCTAGAGCATGCTGTAGAATGTGGATATTTTGCTATATAAATGTAACCAATATCATTTTTATAATCAAAACTGTCTTTATTCAAATTTTACCCAAAAGACAAGGAAGCATTAGTAGCTGGATTTCTAAAACATTTGGATAATGATGCAGATGACCAAGGTTCAATAATCTTCATCACAACTCTGGCTGCTTAGGGAGTTTGAAAGGCCGTTGCCCCCACTGTTAGAAACAGGCTTGATTCTGCAGATTCTGATTCTTCAATAACTGAACTGTGTTAAAAGAGGAGCAGGCCTACATTCTTGCTGAATCTCAACCTTCGAGTACAGAGAAACAGATTTCAAATGACTTGAAAAAGGCAGGGGGGTAATGAAAGTCTGTCATCTCACTGGCCAGTGGTTGATGGCTGTCTTGGATGACTGACGATACCACTAAGCTGCCACTCTTTGAAAAAGTCTATGATGAAGGTGGTGATTTGTATCTAGCTGGGTGTTTTACTCATACAAAGGCAATTACAAGCACAAAATACCTAAGGGGGTGAGGGCCTGAACAGCCACAGCACACATTGACTTCTTCTTCAGCTCCTCAAGGAATGTTGTGATTTGAAGATACAGCACCTCAGCACTAGGTGAGCTCAAAGTATACTCATCCATGCTTGCCAAAACAAGAGTGAGAGAATGTCTGAAAAGGAACAGAACAAAACAACTTGATTGAAGAAAAAGAAAACATAATAATAATAATAATAATAATAATAATAATAATAATAATAATAATAATAATAATAATAGTAATAATAATAATAATAATAATAATAATAATAATAATATAATAATAATAATAATAATAATAATAGTTCTAACAATAATTCATGTATTCATCATACACACTACAACTTGTAGCGTCTTTCCATTTCCTAAAATGAAACGTGAACATAGAAACTACATTTAACTGCATCTAACTGTATTGCTAAAATATTTTATTAGCAGAATAATACTTTCAACTTTACAAGTTGAAATACAATGTTTGCACATGCTGGCATTATTTGACCTAGATATATATGACTAAACTTCAAGTACAATAATAAATGTTCGACATAATTTCACATCATTAAATCTAAAGCAACAAGGCTTAAAGTTGGCCACATTTCACTAGGACATGATAAAAGATTATAGGCCTACTGTAATCCTTTCCCCCTTAACTCACACATACGCACACACACACACAAACAGTTACAAATACACACGCACACTTACACACATGCATGCAAGCATGCAAGCACAAACACAAACACACACAAACACACACAAACACACACACACACAAACACACAGACATGCACATACACACACATACACACACACACAAAGAAACACACAGAGAAACACACACACGTACACACCCACATACACACACACACACACACACACTCACACACACACACACACAGGCTCACACATCTTTAAACGATAAAAATATCACTTTGGTAACATTTCCCAACCATATTCTAAAATACCTCACCATACGACCACCACATAAGACTGACCTAGCTTTACTCGTGTTCACTATCTCCGCAAAGGGAATCTGCATCTTCAGTGAATCCTGCTGGTCTATGATAAAAAGCCCTTTGTTGTTCAAGGCCAGCACAACATCCTGTAGCTGCAGACTACCACCAGAAAACTTGCTGATGTCGTAGTACCGTGAGAACAGGATGTAGAATCTTTCCATTGCGTATTTCACAATCGTTGCTTTTACTTGCGCTTCCATGGAACGACCCACTCCCAATTTCAGAGTTTTGAACATGGCTTTTGCCTTTTCCTATAAAAAAGCAAACATAATTAACATGGTCAAACATAACCTGCAAATTATTTTATATCATGGTTCGCAATTCATCTTTCTGCTTGTGTGCTCTAAAAAAAAACTATATTATTCTGGTCTTTTTTCATCAACCGTCAGTTAAGTTCTTTAAGTAGGTTAATATTAGTCTACCTCCACCTCTTTTGCCTTCCATTGTTCTATTTTTCTAACTGGAGCAAGACACTAATACCTCAAATGGTATTTACATGTACACACTTTTACCTACAAGGCAACTGTGATCAGCAAAACAATTTAGTTGAACTAACTATAAATTATAGGCCAGTGCTTTTTTTTTTACTTCGGACCCAAGTCTTTGAACATATATATTTTCAAAAGGCTGAAACTCCACTTATTGTAGGCTACTAATATGTTCTGCGAAAGCACATTGAGCATTGTAAATTATGGAAATGCGCTATATAAATGCCCATGTATAATTATTATCATTTTTATTAGTTGTAGTGGTGATGTTTGAGGCCTTTATGCAGATACCGCTAGTATTAATACCCTAGGAACAGTACTTGTCTCTTCTAAATTGTTTTTAATTAGTGACCACCGCCTCATTTGATTTCTCTTCCCCCAAAGAAATTCTGAATAGTCTCGTAAGTAACCACATTTCTATTGCCTCTAGTTTATTTTAACTATCTTTCGTAATTGCCCAGTATTCACAGGATATTGAAAAGTTGACCATAAGTGGTCACACAAAAAGCAAAACAGTCAAAATGAAAAAATAATGTTATTCTTCCTTTTGTGTGTCACTGATAATCAATTCTTTATCTCCAAGACCTGAAGAAATTTGGTTGATTTCCACTCTATACCCCAAAGCCACCAAATGCTGCTTCTACGTTCTTCTATTCAGATGCATGTGTTCTGCACCAAAGCCCAGTATGATACCAACTGAGCTATTGATGTATCTTATATAAGGCTCAAGATCACACTATCTGCTGCCCCTTAGGTAACATCTGGGTTGCTAATTTCAAAGAGATATGTGTCACAATGCAGTGAAATCAGGTGCTCATCAGTTTTGGGGGCATATGGAGTTATTGGCATCATCTTAAATCTTAGTCATTTGTCTTGTTTTCAATAACAAAACTATCCATCTATACTCTACAGAATAAAGCTATTTGGTTGCTACCGAAGCAGGATAGGGGTCGCCTGGTTTCAGAGGCAAAATTAAAATGAAAATGGCCACCAAAGTTTGGTGACCTCAAAAGCTTAAGAGTCCTTGGAAACTGTAAATTTACATTTCTTGTGCCTTTAATCAATGTATTCCAGTAAAATCCATGCAGCAATGTATTTTTAAAAGGACATAAAAGGTACTGAGCCAAGAAATTAAAATGTGATATAAATAGCATAACAGGAAGAAAAATGCAGATTTCTTCAATTTTATTATTTTGACTAGTGCATGATTTCAACATGATGCCTCATATATGTATCACAGAACAGAGGTGTAAGCTGATAAAAGACAGAGAGAGCCTCATCTCTCCACCTCACAGGCAGGAGAGTAATCATATAAAGGGGGAAAAAAACTTTGTTACAAACAAAAGCTTACATCATAGTAGTTATCTGGCTTCTTCTCGAGTTCATTCTGAGGGACAAAGTCTGTGATGAAGGAAGAAAGCTTCGAAAAGTCTGGGTCTTGAGGATTTTCCATGTAGTAGAATTTTGTGAGGAGCTCCACAAGCGCTTCCTCCTACAGATGAGACAAAGAGATGAAGAGTTATACAGAAAGTATTGATTGACTGTGCAGGTTTCATGTCCTTATTGACACAACTTTATAATAATAATAATGACATTATCAAAATTTCACTATAACAATTATGTAATAATAATGATATAATGATGATGACGATGATGATGATGATGATGATGATAATGATGATGATGATGATGATGAAAATAATAATAATAATAATAATGACAATAATAATGACAATAATAATAATAATAATAATTATTATTATTATTATTATAATTATATAGGGCCTAATAATAAAAATAATAATAATTATTATTAATGATGATTTTAGAAGAGAACCCTGCCCATTGGGATATTTGGTAAAATAAACTTCTTGAAAACAGGAATGAACTAACAACGCTTCAACTGGTGATGCATGTGGTGGTGATACATGACATAAAAACACACAGAAAACTCACCTTTTCCAATCTGTACTCTCCGAGGGTGAGACCCCGTTTCACCTGGTGATACATGAGGTCCGTGCACACAGGATCCCATCCTGGGACATACCATGGGGTGAACAGTTCTCTGCGAAAGAACAGCCGCCAGAGGGCATTGCTTTCTCGTATACCCATCAATTTGGTATGCTGTTCACACTCAGAGATTGCATCCAAGACTCGATGCTGACCATTTCCAAGGCAGGAGATCTAAGAACATAAATAATATAAATTTTTTTTTTAGATATAGAAATGTTCACAAAGATTTAGATGGAAAAACACTGGAGCTATGTGGAGCACTCTTTCACTGTTCATACAACATTTTTAAAATATCATTGTCTCCATTGTGGCTTCGGTGGCCTAGTGGTTAGGCTACCAGACTCGTAATTGTGAGGTTGCGGGTTTGGGGGTTCGAGCCCCGGGCCCGTCATTGTGTTCTTGGGAAAGGCACTTAACAGGAATTTTCCTCAATTCACCCTGGTGGGAATGGGTACCCAGCCATAGATAGCGGAAGATCTTGTCAGTATGATAGTGTTATAGCGCCTATAAATCACTAGGCCTATTATTATTGCTATAGGCTATATGACAATATCAGAACATAAAGTTTGTCTCTGACAAGACAAAGTTAAATGAGTGGGAAGCCTTGAAAACTCTCAAAACAACCCATTACAAGTACTACTGGCTGAGAAAGTGTTTTTCTGGTTATAAAAGATGTACATTAATACAATGTCATAATTGTTTTTGCTCATCAGTTTTGGGGGCATATGGAGTTATTGGCATCATCTTAAATCTTAGTCATTTGTCTTGTTTTCAATAACAAAACTATCCATCTATACTCTACAGAATAAAGCTATTTGGTTGCTACCGAAGCAGGATAGGGGTCGCCTGGTTTCAGAGGCAAAATTAAAATGAAAATGGCCACCAAAGTTTGGTGACCTCAAAAGCTTAAGAGTCCTTGGAAACTGTAAATTTACATTTCTTGTGCCTTTAATCAATGTATTCCAGTAAAATCCATGCAGCAATGTATTTTTAAAAGGACATAAAAGGTACTGAGCCAAGAAATTAAAATGTGATATAAATAGCATAACAGGAAGAAAAATGCAGATTTCTTCAATTTTATTATTTTGACTAGTGCATGATTTCAACATGATGCCTCATATATGTATCACAGAACAGAGGTGTAAGCTGATAAAAGACAGAGAGAGCCTCATCTCTCCACCTCACAGGCAGGAGAGTAATCATATAAAGGGGGAAAAAAACTTTGTTACAAACAAAAGCTTACATCATAGTAGTTATCTGGCTTCTTCTCGAGTTCATTCTGAGGGACAAAGTCTGTGATGAAGGAAGAAAGCTTCGAAAAGTCTGGGTCTTGAGGATTTTCCACGTAGTAGAATTTTGTGAGGAGCTCCACAAGCGCTTCCTCCTACAGATGAGACAAAGAGATGAAGAGTTATAGAGAAAGTATTGATTGACTGTGCAGGTTTCATGTCCTTATTGACACAACTTTATAATAATAATAATGACATTATCAAAATTTCACTATAACAATTATGTAATAATAATGATATAATGATGATGACGATGATGATGATGATGATGATGATAATGATGATGATGATGATGATGAAAATAATAATAATAATAATAATGACAATAATAATGACAATAATAATAATAATAATAATTATTATTATTATTATTATAATTATATAGGGCCTAATAATAAAAATAATAATAATTATTATTAATGATGATTTTAGAAGAGAACCCTGCCCATTGGGATATTTGGTAAAATAAACTTCTTGAAAACAGGAATGAACTAACAACGCTTCAACTGGTGATGCATGTGGTGGTGATACATGACATAAAAACACACAGAAAACTCACCTTTTCCAATCTGTACTCTCCGAGGGTGAGACCCCGTTTCACCTGGTGATACATGAGGTCCGTGCACACAGGATCCCATCCTGGGACATACCATGGGGTGAACAGTTCTCTGCGAAAGAACAGCCGCCAGAGGGCATTGCTTTCTCGTATACCCATCAATTTGGTATGCTGTTCACACTCAGAGATTGCATCCAAGACTCGATGCTGACCATTTCCAAGGCAGGAGATCTAAGAACATAAATAATATAAATTTTTTTTTTAGATATAGAAATGTTCACAAAGATTTAGATGGAAAAACACTGGAGCTATGTGGAGCACTCTTTCACTGTTCATACAACATTTTTAAAATATCATTGTCTCCATTGTGGCTTCGGTGGCCTAGTGGTTAGGCTACCAGACTCGTAATTGTGAGGTTGCGGGTTTGGGGGTTCGAGCCCCGGGCCCGTCATTGTGTTCTTGGGAAAGGCACTTAACAGGAATTTTCCTCAATTCACCCTGGTGGGAATGGGTACCCAGCCATAGATAGCGGAAGATCTTGTCAGTATGATAGTGTTATAGCGCCTATAAATCACTAGGCCTATTATTATTGCTATAGGCTATATGACAATATCAGAACATAAAGTTTGTCTCTGACAAGACAAAGTTAAATGAGTGGGAAGCCTTGAAAACTCTCAAAACAACCCATTACAAGTACTACTGGCTGAGAAAGTGTTTTTCTGGTTATAAAAGATGTACATTAATACAATGTCATAATTGTTTTTAAAAAAGAAATAGTAAGGCTTCTATAAAAGTGAATTCATATCAAAGATAGTGAATAACAAGATGGGCCACTCAGCCAAAAAAGTGTCCGCAGGAAGTATGCTCTTTGCTTCAGATGGCGCTGCAGTCTGTTTTGAAGCTCTCTTTCGTTTTTCCAGAAGAAGAATAGGAATAGCACCTCCTTGCGTGCGCAGAACGACTGCTGTTCATCAGCAGTTCGGGTACGTTCAGTGCAGAGTTTTAGTTTTTTAAAATTTTAATGACCTCTCGCCTTTCATTCTAAAGTCAAATTAAACGAAGAAAACCATCACCCTTTCCTCCGGTAGAGGTTTTTTGTCAGCGTAACCATTTTTTAAAAGCGTTCTTCCGAAATTTATCCCAAAACTTGCTAGTTTCACTTTGATTTTTTAAAACTCAAGTAGGGTAACTCTGTTCGCAAAGAGTGCGCTTTTGTAAAGAGGGCGCCACCAAATTTTGAGGACACTTTTTTAATTGGCTCAAAGAGAGAAGTGGCCCATCTTGTTATGTACTATCATTGATTCATATATATACCTATCAGTGTACCTGCAACATAAAGAAAGAGACTTACTTTTGATTGTAGAGACACATACAATGAGTAGCCAATGGTGTCGGCAAGACCGAGCCGCTCGCTGATGTTTCGGATGAGTTCAACAACTGTTGTGGCAGAATCAACCTCGCACAGCAGCCGGTTGCCATTCATCAGTGTGATGGGAACCAGAAGAGGTTTACCGTTCTTTGCAGACTGGGGGAGGGGGGGGGGGGGGGGGAGTCATCAAGTTACAACATTTTTTTGGTTTTATTCTCTTTTAAAAAATTATACAAGTGTTTTTTTTCTTATTCAGAGGACTTCCAGAAGCTGTCATCCTTCAAACTGATAATTTGAAGTGATAACTTTTAATGATAGTCATGAAAGTAGGAATTCTATGCTCTCATCTTCAAAATTCAGATAGGTAAGGAGAGGGGAAGCTTTGACCCTGTCAGTCAGGGCCAACCCAGAATAAAAAAACATCTTTTCCATGTGGGAGTGTGATGTCAAGGGACATGACTCTTGTCTTTACTGTGGGGACAAGATTATTAAGGGAGTGGCACGCCCGTGGATGACGTCAAATGCACCACGGGAACCTAGATGGAGATCGTCTGAGAGACTCACTGAGAGATTCAGTCGGACTCAGAACCATGACAAGGCAACACTTATCTTGGACGGGGGCCCCCTGACAGACCCGACTCATCACACCGCCAGGTAACTTTACATGGGAGTTGAGCTATGCCTTCTGCAAATAATGGCAAAATGCCACGCCACTACACTATGAAGTCGATTCTTACCAGCAGGGTAAAGAGAGTTAAGTAAAAGAAATAATGGCAAGTAACTTGTAAATGATCGCAAACAACACAACTTCCAGCAGATAGCACATTAAAACACACTAACAAAACAATAGTGAATTTCAAATGCCATAAAATGGATGCATTGTAATGACAGTGCACTTTCAAGCAGTTTGTGAACATTCTATCATATACCCAGATAGGTACCAAATCTATACAGTGTAAAATCTCAGCTAAAAGGATTTTTAAAAAATCTATCTATAAACAATCTTGAGCTGGTAAACTTTACCTTGTAAGATGTCATATCCCAATCAGCCAGGGTTGACAATGACAAGTACGATAGAAGCGGCTAAATTGTGTTGACGTGGATATAAAACAACTTTTAATTCCAAATTATCTCTACTAGCCAGGCATGGGCAAGCCTGTCCAATTCAGAGAGCTGCATTAAGCGATTCTGAATATTTTATGGTACAAACTAGGAAACAATTGGATGAAATCAGTTGTGAAGCCCAAGCTAAAAAAAGTAAGACTTAAACTGACACTAAAGCATAGGTCACTCAAAGGCATTTTGTAAGATAGAATATAGATCTTATGCTTCTAGCTGGGCCAGAAAATAATATGTCTAATATTCAAGACCAACTGTTTTGTTTTCATCAGTTATCAACTCACTGCAGGTCACATTAACCACTGGGTCGACTCATGAACAGGCTTGAAATTACTCTCAGGCTGGATCTGGCCTGCAGACCATAGCTTGTGTATGCTCGCTACGTCTATAAATACAATCTAATTCTCACTTGAAACTCCAACCAGCTGGGAGGGTATCCCCTGGTGCCAACACTGCACGTCCTCCGCAGTGTCCTGTCTGCTTTCTCTGTAAACTCCACTGGCCCATCGCATATAAAGTTGCTGAGCACAGGAGCAAACTATGGACATAAAAGAGACTCAGTAAGATAAGGTAAGACAAGATGAGATTCAGCAGGATAAGATAAGATGAGACATGATAAGATTAGACAAGATGAGATGACATGAGAGTGAAAAACACACCATTTATATTGTTGTTGGTATTTCCTATACCTGTCTCCACTAGCTTTTCGATGGATCGGAAGCCTACTGATGAGCTTCACTCTGAAAATTGTATGAGTGTTGGAGGAAGGAGCACTGAGCCTATGAATATAATTCTGAGTGTTTTTGCTACCTTGTTACTCTGGTTTTTCAAAAAATAGTCCAACCTGCTGTAACAGCCACCTGTCCAAGGCAGCAACCGACCACTTCCAACTTACCCACTTGCATTTTAAAAATATCCTAATGACACTGTCCCAGACATCCACCTGTCTAAGACAACCATTTTTCTCCTAAACAATGGATAGCCATCTTTGACAATTTTGACTCTACTGTTGAAATTAAACGGTGAATTACTCGATTAGGGATGGTTTTTGGGGGTAAAAAATTTTTTTTTCTTATAATACTTTTATAGGGTTTTTTCTAGTCTTTCTACCCTAGGCGGTTATACAAAGATTTTGGATATGAGAGAAAGGACTCAGATCATAAACAAAGAAATAAAGTGCATACCTCCCCGGCCGGAGTACTGTTTCGACTGTTTGAAATGATCATCAGCCTTTCTGACCCTGTGCTGGCGTAGAAGTCACTGACAAGAGCTCTCCATGTACTTCTGTCATGGGCTATAGTTTTCATCTCGGTCAAGCAGTATCTCATTTCCTTTAAGTCTAAATCTAAGACCCTACTGAGTAATAGGCACCTTGAAAATAGGGTTTGCCTTTTATCTTTTTTCAACTTTCATCAAAACGATCAAATAAAAAAATCCCTTCACCCCTCTGAAATTTACCTTTTCTGTGGGTGAAAAGCTGCCGGTGAACAAGATCATGAGGACCCATCCCCGCACCGTGCTGTTCCTTGACGGGTTGTTGGAAAGCTGTTTGCACAGCTGACAGTAGAGCTCATCCCTGGAGAAATAAAACAGTCCATTTTTTATTAACACAACTTACGTCATTGTTACGGAGTTCGTCTGTGCTGCTTGCCGCCAAGCGGGCGTCACTGGCGACGCACTAAGATTGGTAAAGATGCAATAGGGAGGCATGTTGCAACAACTCACCTGTCAGGGCCAACCTGGGCTGAGAGGAATGCGAAGTCCCAGGGGCAACCATGACTTAAATGAAACTAAGATATGTATAAAAGACTGGTGAAATGATGAAATGGTACAGGTTTAATGCTTCTATCAACACTATATAAGAGGTGGGAAGGATCTCCAAGTTTAACGTCCATCTCCAAGGGGACCAAGCCAAACAGGAAATTCATGTTAAGTGCCTTTCTTAAGGATACAATGTTGGACCGAGCTGACGTGAAAACCCTCAAAGATTGACTTACTTTTTCATTTTAGTAAGAGTTATACGGTGCTTGCAACAAAATTAAGTCATACAAGTCCAAGTGCCAAGATTATAGGCGTTATAAGAGAGTGACATACAAAGAAGAGAAGGAGAAGAAACAAATACATCAGACGTTTGATAGGAAAGAAGGAGTAAACCCCACCAGAATGCCCGAACCACCCACTAAAAGATTGGTCAGAAAGCAGAAACTGATAGAAAGATAACAACAGTGCTGGCCATGCTGGCTTTCCATTTGAAAACGTGCTGGGTCTACCCCAGCCCTTGAACAGCACCTTATACAAAATATGCAACACTGTGCATGATGAAAGGAGAGCAGACTTCAGCATTGTCTTGAGTATAACAAGAAAAGGTTCAGAAGCTTATTTTTTCAAACAGTGCATTCGTTGAGGTTTTGAAGCAAAAGCAGAAAACATCCCTAAACTGTTCGTACATAGATTTTCATACTCTTTAACCCTATCCGTATGCCTGAGGTCATTTTGTACCCCAGGGGTTGTATTCTTCACATTTTAGAATACCTGTAGTGCAAAGATCTCTTTGAAAACTTTCAGTATTTCTCAAAAAATCATTTTGACAGACTGCTATGCAAATCGTTCGGATCGGATTAACGAGTAAATTTCCTCTTTGGAAAGTGGTGAGCCAGAGTTCCAAAAGTTGTATGGATACGATAGTAAAACACAACGTACGGAGAGGGTTAAGATGATCATTGTACATTCTATTAAAACAATAACTCTTTTACTGCTGTTATTTTTTTTCTACACCTTTTTCATGTGATTGAAAATCAATTAAGTCCTTGAAAAGTAATTAAAAAAAAAAAAATTACACATGATCACTTTTATTAGCATTATCTGTATATGTAAAACATTTTTTTAAATGCCATGAGGCAAAATATCAAAATAATTTAATATGAAGCTCCCCTAAAAATATAAAAAAGTGAACACAAATACCTCAGACTGGGCTTGTATATCCCCATAGCACAAATCAGCTGCACTTTGTCTAACATTGACTCTTCTGGACCAGTCAGGAAAGGGATGGATCGACTGTCTGAGCTCACAGGATCTTTAAACTGCATGGTGAAAATAAATCCGTCAATAGATTGGCAAATAATTAGTGTTACTAACACAACTATGCTATCAATGGCTGTAAAGCATACACAGCATACTGTAGAGTGATTTATGCACTGTATAGTTTATACGATTGTTGTAATTATAATTTGTTGTGATCAATCGATCATTAAAATAGCAAAGAAACACTCAATATACCACATGCTACTTCAGTTGATGCATAGCATAGCTGGGTTAGTCACAATCATGACACAAATCTACCAAACCCAGCATGCCATTATTGATACTCAAACTGCATGTCAACTGCATGGAGCATTCACATCTATTGTTTAGTGTTTATCTGATAGCCTACAAATTAATGAAATAAGAACAGAGTTATAGGGAAGTTTGTGGAGCAGATCGTTCGATGACAAAACTGGCAGTGTACAAACATGTAAAGCCTTAACTCTGTATACTTTGATAATCAATCAGTTAATGGAGAAATACAGTTTTACTGACACAGCCATGCTATCCACTAATCACTATAAAAGCTAATTAATATAGCCTACAAAACAATCAAATCATCTTTCTAAAGGCAAATCAGTCAGTATCATTCCAAAAAAAGAAAAATCTAAAGAATCATATCATATTTTATCACATTTTTGTGATGAGCTTATACCTAATATTGATACTCAGAGAATATAATCCTTGTACAGAACTATTTTCTTTCTTTGCTTACAGAGCTGCAAAGAGTAGGTTACAATCCATGTGGTTAATCGCTTAAAATGCTACAACAATAAATCTAAAAGAAATTGACCAGGATCAAGAAGAAGAATTAATGGTCTCATCCATACTCCCTTTTCACCCACCTGTACACAGTGTATATATTCCCTCGCTCTCTCCCGCCCCCCTCCCTCTTTCCTCCCTCTTTTCTCTCTCTCTTTTCTCTCTCTCTCTCTCTCTCTCTCTCTCTCTCTCTCTCTCAATCTCAATCTCAAACATTTGTGCATGAGAACATACACACAATACAAAGACATAAAAATAAAAATAAAATATTTACACTTCACACAAACACACATTTACACATTTACAAACACACACACTAACACACACATATACACACAATACAGTCATATATATATATATGCATATGAACAATCACTCACACACACACAAACAAACATACACAGACATACATACACACACACACAAAACACAAACACACACACACACAAGTGAACCCTCACCAATTCACTATAACGCCTGTGGGCATCCTCAATGTCCTTTTTAGTGTATTTGTTCGTGAACCCCAGTTTGATTTTTGTGACCATTGGCATCGACTCCTGAGGGGAAACACACAGGAAACAAAATCAAGAAAGGAAAATGGTGAAATGGTATAATGTTTAACGCCCTTATCAATGCTATTAGGTTATTTAAGAGGCTGGACGTCCAAGTTGAACATCCATTTCCGAAACTACCAAACTAAATAGCAAATTCGTGTAAAGTGCCTTTCCCAAAGACACAACGTTAGACAGAGGAGAGGAGAGTCTCGAACCCCCAATCTCGCAATCTCATGATTACAGGTCCGGTAGCTTAACCACTAAAGGCTACCAATACTATTCAAGAAAGGGATAAAACACCAACACTAGTAAACTAATAAAATGTCTGTAACGGGCAATTTCTCAAAGATCAAAACAACATGACAGGACATATCATTCAATTAACCACCCCCCACCCCTTATCCCCCATCCCCAATAAAAACAAACTTCTATTGGTCCCAGATGGAACTTTGGCTACACTGGCACATACAACGTGTGCGCGCACGCGTGTATGTATATATGATTATGTGTGTGAGTGTATGTGTATGTGTGTGTGTACAAAGAAGAGAAGGAGAAGAAACAAATACATCAGACGTTTGATAGGAAAGAAGGAGTAAACCCCACCAGAATGCCCGAACCACCCACTAAAAGATTGGTCAGAAAGCAGAAACTGATAGAAAGATAACAACAGTGCTGGCCATGCTGGCTTTCCATTTGAAAACGTGCTGGGTCTACCCCAGCCCTTGAACAGCACCTTATACAAAATATGCAACACTGTGCATGATGAAAGGAGAGCAGACTTCAGCATTGTCTTGAGTATAACAAGAAAAGGTTCAGAAGCTTATTTTTTCAAACAGTGCATTCGTTGAGGTTTTGAAGCAAAAGCAGAAAACATCCCTAAACTGTTCGTACATAGATTTTCATACTCTTTAACCCTATCCGTATGCCTGAGGTCATTTTGTACCCCAGGGGTTGTATTCTTCACATTTTAGAATACCTGTAGTGCAAAGATCTCTTTGAAAACTTTCAGTATTTCTCAAAAAATCATTTTGACAGACTGCTATGCAAATCGTTCGGATCGGATTAACGAGTAAATTTCCTCTTTGGAAAGTGGTGAGCCAGAGTTCCAAAAGTTGTATGGATACGATAGTAAAACACAACGTACGGAGAGGGTTAAGATGATCATTGTACATTCTATTAAAACAATAACTCTTTTACTGCTGTTATTTTTTTTCTACACCTTTTTCATGTGATTGAAAATCAATTAAGTCCTTGAAAAGTAATT